CAAAAATTTATTGATCTGGACCCGGCTTTAAACGCGATTCAGCATGTGCATAGTACAACATGATTAGCTGTTTTTCGGTTAGAACTGCTTTTAAATTTATAAATAAGTAATTTACTGAGTTTAGTTTTGAAGTGACTGTCTCGCAATGTTTCTTCAAGTCAAGGCATTCATCAATGTATAAACCAAGGAATTTTACACATCGAGTATCGTCAATTTTTCTGTTATTGATGATAACATTGAGTGAGCTAATTTGCTTTTGTTTATTATAAAATTGAATTAGATGGGTTTTTTTCTGCATTTAAATAAAGAGAATTCATACAGAACCATTGAAACAGATTAGAACAAACCTGGTTCACACTTTCATGGTGTATTGTTTGTCAGGTCGGTTGGAATGCCCTAATAATTCTGATATCATAAATAATTTACAGTTGAATATTTACATTTACATCGACAGGTGATGATTACATTATGACATTTATCATTTAAAAGACACCGATACTATCTTTGTAAGTATGTTACCTCATTGACAGCGATAAGTGATAAAACACGAATTATTATTTTTTTACTTATCAAACCATGTGTAAAGTTCAATTTAGAAAAAAAATAATGTATTTCCTCTCCTACTGATTATTTACTTACCTGTGCATTTATACTCAAGGATATATTACCACATCTTGAACGAAGTATTAGTAATATGTATAATATTTCATTTTGTTTATCACTTCACGTGCGTCGTGTAATATGATATCGAAAATTTATAGGTAGATATAATTGTAATAAATTTAATCCTCTGAAAAACGCTGTTAATGAGATGTCTTCATTATTCAACAAATGGGGAGGTTATGATTGATAACCTGTGTTATTTTTAACAGATATGTTATTTTATAAACACACAGAAATGAGAACAAATAACATGTCTGTCTGTCAATAGTAGTTTGTTCAATGTGATGTCCATTACGCACGGAGACCAAGTATTTACGTGCGATATGGACAATCCACTTGAGTTGTAAAGTATATTTTTTCTACGACCCACTAACGAAACTCTAAAAATTTGAAAAAATTATTTTAGGTTATTAAGACAAAATAATTAATCTTAAATTAATTTATGAATTTTACTAATTTATAAAATAAAAGTGGAAAAAAATGAATGACATTAGGATGGTAACAAGATGGCGGCTTAAGCAGGTCTGGACTCTTTTTTGGGTTTTTTAAAGTGGAAGTAGTAATTTTAATATTTATAATTCAATGAATACTTACGTGATATATGAAATACAAACAGAATCACAAAAGAAAATTTGTATTAATATTTGTTGTAATTTATTTGAGTTATTTAATTTGAAGTTATTTATATAAGCAGTTAGTAAATTCACAATACGCTAGGTCAGTGATGATATAATTATGGTTTCACTGACAATTAAAGAGACAGTAAATTTTTTAAGTGCGTTTTGTTCGTTTTGTATAAATATATTCCTAAAGTAAGTAGATAACATGCATCAAATATACAATCGTTTATTTACCAATTACATACCTTTAAACTATTTTTTATGACCTGTAAACAATATTTAGAAATAAACTAAAAACAGTAAAAAAGTTTATGTCAAGTTTATTGATGTTTTTGTTAAAAGTTTGGTTAAAATTAAATGTCGGTGGAACCAAAATGACATCACACCGAACTAGCATATTAGAGATAACATTTAATAGTATATTACGTAACAAGAGTTGTAAGTAACCCATTACGCACGAAGTGAAAAAGTTTACGCACGAAGCCGCGCAGCGGCGGGTGCGTAAATTTTACGAGTGCGTAATGGGCTTACAACTCGTGTAACGTACTATACTTTTTCTACGCCCACTTATTTTCTTCCATAAATTTTCGATAGGTAATTTCGGACCTTTTTTTGGACTTTAGCGGTAGCAAATTATGTGTGGCAGCTTGAGCTTTTTCTAAAATATCTGGTGGAGTGCTCATAATCTTATCACTTTCACTACTAACAGATATATTTATAGGTAAAGTTAAGAAAATGTTCAAATACAATATTTAGTATAATGTGTTGCCGACATTTAGGGGCATAATTTTTTTAATTCAAAGTGTATCTCGCTAATGCTAAAAGTTGTTTTTAAATTGACTAAATTTATGTAAATGAACCAAATAAAGTCTTACGTAGATAAAAATTTGATTGCAATTTAATTAAACTAAGAAATTTAAGTTTTTTTTATCAAAAAGCACGTGTATGTTATGAGATCTCTTTACGTGCATGTTATTGTTAAATGTAATTTACAAGGAATGTTGACAGTGCGATTTTTAACGTTTACTGACATGGGCGTAGAAAAAACGTATTTTTCGAATATAAATAAAATAGTTATATCTGATTAAAAAATTCGATTATTATAATAAGTAATTCCTTAATAAAAAATTAGATAACTAACATAACTAACATAAATAAAGTGTTTATTTTCCTTAAGAAATTTACAAAAATATTAAACACGTCATAAAGCATGAATGCTAAATTTATAAAACGTTCAATATCCTTAAGACATTGTCAAAAATGAATTCAATAAGTCATAAAGCACAAATGCTAAATATTATATGATTAATAATAAAGCTATATTTCTAAATAATTATACAGGGTGTTTTAAAAACATGTGACATCGCTCCGTGAGATGATTCTTTTCCCAAAAATAAGATAAATCTGTATCTGTAACGTGTGGAGGGTGGGTTACCCCCACGGCACTTAGGCCTCATTATGCCCATTGTGCATCCTCCTGAGATGATAGGCACCTCGTACCTCGTGAGCCAGCCTACAAATTTTATGTAGTTGACAACGTCGCTAAGAGGTACTTCTCTTATATCGGCCGGTGTTAGCCGATACTCGCCGAACACAAATCTTCTAATAAATGAGAGCGTCGGGCAATCGTAAAGTATATGTTTGATGGTATCATCTTCTTGTTCGCATCCACTGCAGAGTGCGGATTTTGACAGCCCCAAGATATGGAGATGCTTTCGTACTTGGCAATGACCTGTCAGAATGCCTGTGACTAGGCACAGATTCTGTCTAGTCATATATAGTATTTGTTTGCTGCAGTGTTATCAGGATAACTTAAGAGCTCCCTGGCAACTCTGCAGTTTCTTGTTTCATCCCATCTTTCCTTAAATTTGACAAGGGAATGTTCTTTGATTAGGTCTGTCACTACCGATTTTGTCAGGCCAATAGAAGGGCCAGGTCCAAAAAGTATTTGGTTGGCTGCTTTCTTGGCTAGTGAATCAGCAAGACGGTTACCTTTTGATGTGGCGTGACCTTGATCCATCTTAAGGTGACCACATTGTTAATGGATACTTCGACCAAAGCTTCGTGACATTCTAGTACTATCCCTAAGATAAATAGTTCCTATCAACATGGATGCGCAGATACTTTGTTTCAAAAATGCAGGGTGTTTCAATTTTACAATCAGTAAAAATTAACAGAGGGAAATTTGGAAAACAATCAACTGTATCAAAAACTATAACAAGTCAATGAAGATGACACTAGCATACTAGATTTTTTATGATTTTATTTTTAGCTTGATATTTAACAGTGTAATAAAATTGTAGCTTCTGAACGAAGCCGAAATTAAACGGAGCTTTTTATTATAGTCATTTAAATATTGTGCTATCAAAAAGTAAATAACTCGGTGACGTATATATTTTTTGTCAAAAATATTAGGATAACTTCCGAGCAATTACTACTAGATGGAGCGATTGTTGTGTTCGCAACATCTATAGAGGAAGTGAGGAAGCGGGCACAAAAGGGAAGGTAAATAACCCCTCTTGTTCAGTAGCGTATCATTTCTCTATAAGAACACACATTATCCAAACTTTTTAATTGTAAAAAAAAACTAAAAAATTCGCTAATTTTACTATTTTTAAAATGTATACCGTCTTGTATGTGTCTAATGCAGGAAATAAAACAAAATTATTACTTCAATTTTATTATAAATAAATACAGGAGCGATTAGTTTCGGCATCACAGGGACATCTTCATGCCTGTAATACAATAATCCTTAATTATTATAATAGGAACAATATAGGAATAGGTTGGTCAGTTACAATTAAAATTAAATAGTATAAATCACAAAAATGGATCCATATTGTAGCGCTACGGTATTGTAGAATTAAAGCTGTGGAAAAAGAAAAATAAAAGAGCAGTGCAAAAATAAGAAAATGGGTATGGAATTTACAAAAGAAGAGGTGAGAATGAACAATTACGAATGCATGTAAATTGTTAAATAGTGGTATAGTTCCCGTCAAATAAGGCTGGATATGTGAAAGAGGACTGAGGGTTTTTTCTGTAAATCTTGGGAATGTAAGGACGAAACTTGCTGGCTCAGGTGTAGATATGCTAGAAAAAGGAGAGTGTAGATGTAAGCCCAAGTTAATATTATCATTTTCGTCTAATTTTTTATTGTCACTCACCGTTTCGGCTTTATCTTCGAAATTCATTTTCAAAAGGAAGTAAAAATAACCATTCATGCAAGCATATAATAAAACAACGGGAATTCATTATATATAATAAGCTAATAAACGTTTGTTTCAATGGAAAAACAAATAAAAATAGAAATAGTTAAGATTAATATCAAAATGAATATAAAAATACAACAAACAGATAAAATAAAATAAATTAATACATTTACAAATAGAAAGTTAATAACATACCTTCTAAAAGTAATATATTTTAAGTAGATAAAAGTTTAGAGTTGATGATCCCTGAACATAACTAATCTGACGTTTTCCCCCTTTTTAATATTATGAGGTTTTTGTAGTATAGTAATTTACGTTACAAGACCGAAAATTAGTGCTAAGCATGCTTGTCTCGACCTGCAAAATACTACTTTCTGGTCTTGTAACTATATTTGTAGAATCAGAAAATATTTCAAATTCAGATTTAAAGAACACATCATAGCTTAATTATTTAAAATATTATGCTAGTTTTATCCGATTTTCTTACAACTTTTTTTTGTTGTTGCAGATGCAAGTCATCCTATACCACAACCAAAGCGGCGATGCCGCTTTCACTGGGGATTTGAAACAAAAAGAAGTCCACAGGGCCATAACTTTGCATCCTGTAAAACATCCGCAGTCTATGTATAGGCTACACAAGTATGTCAAGGTCAGTATAAATTGGGGTTTTATAGATGGTTTATTTTTGGTTTAAGTTTATTTCCAATATGAAGTGATTACAGGGTGTCTATACAGTATTAGCAAGATCAAACCTTGTCTTTACTTGTGCTGAAGTGCAGGATAAGAAAATATTAAGTTTAGATGTTGTCAGTTGAGCATAGGGGCGGTAGCATCTACAGAAATTAAAATAAGATGGTGGAAAATGACATTGTCGTTAATTGGTTATTTTTCATTTCATCCTATTTGGTAAGTCTATATATTATTTGTATCTGTCCTGACATTACATATGTACAAAATGGGCGGAAGGGCCCATCTACAGCCACAGAAAATATTGGATATAAATTGTTCCTTACATGGCTTATAAGAGTGGATGGTCTTAATGTGGAATGGGTCACTTATTTCTGATCAGATCTACGATACTCAATTAAAGATCGACAGGTTCAGTAGGAATCATATTTTGTACAGGCAGAGAAATAAAATTTAAGGAGTAACCTTGAATGTATAAGACCTTAGAAATGTATTATGTGAATGGCTCTGTTTGGGTTGATGTTGATGTCTCTGGGGCTTTTTCCAAGGTTTCTCTTGGTGTTACAGTCTTACGTGGTACCATTAATTTAGGCATCTGTTTTAAATCTTTACCTAAATGCTTCATAGCTTTAGCAGATTTGCTAAGTAACTTGGTCTGTAAAGACTTTAACCTTATTAAAGAGCTGTATTGGTATTTGCTGCCTTAGTCTCTGGGTTGATTTTGAGTAGTGCCATCAAAAGGCAATTTAAGGATATATGGAAACAAGCTATGATTTGTAAATATATCTAATCCTGCACCCAAGATGTCTAGTCATGAGGCAACTACCTCTTTTTGAATAACTTCATCAGTACTCCTCCATATTGAGTTCATTGCACAACATTTTAAGGATATTTTCATTTAGCAATGGCCCTTCAGTTTCATTAAGAGGGTCGTCTTCTTTTTTATTCAGGTCTTAAAAGAAAACTCAAAGTAGAACCACAAAATGCAAATAATTACAATTCACAAATGGTTGGATGTAAGTAACTAACCATAGCAGTGTCTCCCAATATTATCTGAACAATATTCTTACTCTTACATAAAATGTTTCTATATATTTGACAACACTATCAAAAAACTAGTATCTTCTTTAACTTTTAGCTTGTCCACACTAAATCTGGGACACCCATCGGGTCCTATAGTCTCACTGTATTTAATCCGCACTAGATTTGTTATTATCCCACACTGGGTTCATGAGAAAACTCACACTGAGTTATGGTTACTATCTGGTATCCCGTGTAAATTAAATCGACTCGAAAGAAAAAAGTATGTCCAATTTACCAGCATCCGCAATTTAAAATTTTTCTAGATGTTTGCCAACACTATCAAAAAACCAGTATCTTTTTGCCTTAGTAATTTAATAGGTCCATACTGAACCTGGAACTCGCACTGGGTACTAGACTCGCACTGAATTTATTTAATGTTATAAACCCGAACTGGGTTCTATAAAAAACTCTCACCGTGTTATGACACTACTTGGAATCCCAAGTAAAGTAATTTGATTCGAAAGAAAAGAGTATGTCTAGTTTAGCATCGTCCGCCATATTAAAAACTTTCACTGAGTTATGGCCTACCTGGAATCCCATGTAATGTGATTCGAAAGAAAAATTATGTCCAGTTTACCATCATCCATTATATAAAAAAACCTTTCACTGAGTTATGAAACTCCCTGGACTCACATGTAAAGTAATGTGATTCAATAGAAAAAAGTCAGTTTTCCTTCATTTGCCAGATGTTTGACAATGCTATTAAAAAATTAGTTTTAACAGGTCCACACTGAACCTGGGACTCGCACTCAGTCTATTTAATCCGCTCTGGATTTGTTATAAACCCACAGTGGGTTTTAGATAAAACTCGCACTGAGTTATAGCACTCTCTGGAATAGAGTTGCCACCTTTTTGAAAAGTGAATAAAGGACTACTTTGCTGGTATATAAGTATACAAAAAGTCCTTATCCTTCCACTGAACTTCAAAAAAAAAAAAATCGCCGATCTTGCAACAAAACAAAATTCTCCCTCCATTTTACAGAGTTTCTAAACAAAAAATTCCTCAGCTTATATATTTTTCTACAAACCATGTCCCTTTCCAAAGAAGATATGTGCTTGTAAAAAAAAATACATTTGCCGTAAAAAAGGACATTTTAAGCTTTAAAAAGTCACAAGGACATTTAGCTTCAAAAAAAGACTGTCGTTTTCAAAAAAGGACAGGTGGCAACCCTAATCTGGAATCACATGTAAGGTAATGAACACTGAAAGAAAAAGTAATTATGTCCAGTTTACCATCATCCTTCATATAACCAGCATATTCTTTGGCTTTATGATTTAACAGGCCCGCACTGAACCTGGGACTTGCATTGGGTCCTAGACTCGCACTGAGTTCATTTAATCCGCACTGGATTTATTTATTATAAACCGCACTGGGTTCTGTCTCCAATTTCTTTTGTAATCTAAAACAATTCATTTATTTTTAACCTACCTGCATCCTTCTGTTCTTCTTCTTCTTCTTCTTCTTCTTCTTCTTCTTCTTCTTCTTCTTCTTCTTCTTCTTCTTCTTCTTCTTCTTCTTCTTCTTCTTCTTCTTCTTCTTCTTCTTCTTCTTCTTCTCCTTCTCCTTCTTCTTCTTCTTCTTCTTCTTCTTCTTCTTCTTCTTCTTCTTCTTCTTCTTCTTCTTCTTCTTCTTCTTCTTCTTCTTCTTCTTCTTCTTCTTCTTCTTCTTCTTCTTCTTCTTCTTCTTCTTCTTCTTCTTCTTCTTCTTCTTCTTATTCTTCTTCTTCTTCTTCTTCTTCTTCTTCTTCTTCTTCTTCTTCTTCTTCTTCTTCTTTTTCTTTTTCTTCTTCTTCTTTCTTAGGTTTTTATGGGCTCAATCCTTCAGGATTATTTACCCAGGTTATGTTTTTTGTAGAATGAAATTTCATGAAAAAGCTGCAACCTCGTGCGTCTGACCATATAGTAATCACTTTTTCACTACACTTGATATTTAATTTACTAAAATATGTATTTGAAACTTCGGCACAAAATGTACCAAAGTATTTAGTAATATTTTAAAAGTCGGATGGTTAATTTAAAACTTTATATTTTATGAAAACTGGACTCCCGATTCTGAGACCACCATTTCGATGTTGACACGTCGGTATCAGAATCGGAAGTCTCCATCCTTCTGTTGATAAATAAATACTATCTCTGGTTCTTCTGTCAGAGAACTAAAACTGGAAAAACTGCATTTTCTGTCTAAATATTCTGCTATTTACGTCGGTGATTTTCTTCATTAGAGTCGCTCCCGCTGTTTAAGATTTCTTTCTTTCTTTCTGTTTGTTGTTTCTTAAGGTGATTACAGCACCCCCTCATAATTTTCGGACAAGGATATCTCAAAAAGTAATTTTTTTAAAAAATTAAAATTTTGGCAAAATATATTAGGGAATAATATCTAGAATATGCATATTTTTTAAAGTTTTAATTCCGTCCAGTTTCCGAGAAAAAAAATCAAAGGGCTTTAAATTTTGAAATATCATAATAAAAATAAAAGCATTCCTCAACAGCAGTATTCCGAATATAATCCCCAAATTTAAGCTCTTAATATCTTGTTAATGATTTTTTAAAATTCGCCGAAATTAGTGGCTAAAACGCCTCGTTAAGTGCTGCTTTCTGGTGTAACGCGTCTGTAACTATCGTATCGTACACTCTGAGTCATTATTCGTTTCTTGCAACGATTTACACCAGTTTAAACCAGAAAATAGCACTTAACGAGGCATTTTAGCCACTAATTTCGGCGAATTTTAAAAAATCATTAGCAAGAGATTAAGAGCCTAACTTTTGGGATTATATTAAGAATACTGCTGTTGAGGAATGCATTTATTTTCATTATGATATTTTAAAATTTAGAGCCCTTTGATTTTTTTTCTCGGAAACTGGAAAGAATTAAAACTTTAAAATATATGCATATTCTAGATATTATTGCCCTATATATTTTGCCAAAATTTTACCTCAAGTTTGCAGCTCTACAGGGTGAGCTGTTAAAAGGAGTCAAAAGTGTGGAGTGCAGAATTAATAATTTCATATATATCTTTACCACTCTTAAGCTATTCATATTTTTTCCATGAAACTTATGGCTCGTCTTACACTTGTATATAGTTTATCAATGCTTACCTACACTTTGTAAAATAAATTATACAGAGTGTTCAAAAAATATCAGTTACTGAAATAAGGTACATTTTTCATGTATTACTATAGCTGAAATAAGACTTCTGACGATTTTTTTGTTTTATATAACACTGGATAATTTTTATAATACAGGGTGTGACAGAACTACATTAAGAACTAATAATTACAATAAATATTTAGCGAAAAACTTGGTAGACCTACCTAAAATAATCTAGAATGACTCTTGAAGCGAAATTAAGTTTGTTTGTATTGTAATCTCTATAACTAACCAAATCCCGTTCTACGTCTTCTTTAATTTCGAAATAATACTACTACTACTACTACTAACCCTCACTTAAATAAATGATTCAGAAGACATATTCTAATTAAAAAGTAATTCCTGATTCTTATATAGAGTACAAATGTCAGTCTACCACTTTTTTCTATTTTTGTAGATTTAGTACGTTTAGTTTAGTTAAAATTAAACCATATAAAAAATCTTATGCAGTTTTCGCAGTAGTAATTTATTAACAAACTTGCTGTTATAAATACTGATGATATTTAATTATGAAAAATTCTTATTGATTGGCTATTCCACACAATTGTGCCTATATACTTTTCTCATGATATGGAATATTATCTAGGCATACGACCTAACTTTTTTATTTATTTTTTTTATCAATCAGCAAAAGGATTCTATAAGCTAAAACTTTACGAGAGCGTTAGATTTACTAGCAACTAAATTATTATGATAGAGTTAACATTCAGCGAGGTAACCTTTGCATTTTC